GCTTGGATAGAAATTTATAGCATTTTAACTACAAAGTTCACGGTTGTTTCCCGACCATGAAATTTGTTCCATCACTCGTGGGAATTTACTTGTGTTAATTTCAAAGAATGCAAGGCCAGGGAGGGGAGACGGTGTCGAGGTTGCTGTGATAGTTTCTGCAAACTCGGTCATCTTTTTTAAACGACAGCACAGTCTTCAATTAATTCTAACTTCGCATCTGCTTGAATAATTGTTTCTCATATGTGCGTAAAAATGATTTGAATATTCCCTCTAATTTGTCCAGTGGTTCATACGGGCAACATAAAAATGTTATTGAACCTTGAACTCTTAAATTATTTTGTGGATCTTGATGGGAAATTGTAAATGTCGTGTTTACAAAGGTTTATTACTATTAACTATCGTTTGATCTATTCAGCTTTCTATCTTGAGCCATTCACACGATCTCAGGTCACACGACAGTCAACGCATCGAATTAAATTGCATAGAAACGGTAAATAATACTATAATCGGTTACAATGTATAACTCGATTTGTTCAGATTTGCAGAACTTCAGTTAAATACATAATCAGAACAGATTTGGTAACGTGTTCCAACGGGGATCGTTCGATTAAGTAATAAATCATCGGGGCGAACGATCGATAATTAAAGTCGACTTAGACCGACGCTTGACAAAGATATGACATAAGGAAGAAGCTATGCTCGAATGACTCACGAATAAGAGAAAGTTCTTCGAGAATGGTCTGTAGTTTGCACTTAACTTCGTTACGATACCACAAAGAATACGAGAACACTCGATTATACCCTCTAAGGAAATTCGTCCAAACAGAAATTCATTTTAGTCGCCATAACAAGTGATCCTAGACGACTTTAGATAGTGCTTTTCATAAAAATTACGAAAAACCTAATATTCTTGTCCGCCATATTGATTTTAGAAATGTGACATCAGATTTATTACGTATTCGCAGGTTCATGTTTCTGCACAATGTAAAAGTCGCAACGAAATTGTAGACAGCAGTTAAAGACCCGTATCGGGTGAACCGTAAAGTTTCTAAACGACTCATTTAACCGGATAAAAGTATTTTATTCGTCGAAACGCAGGGATTCCAAGAGAAAACGCGACCTCCTCGTTTACAAGGAAGTTGACGATTAGTTATGTACCGATGATTCCTTTCATCGATAAACTTTCATATTTTTAGGGCCTCTTACAGTCGTCTATCTTATCGAGAATGTATCATCGAACTTTTTATCGGTTACTCATGACTTTTTTAAGGTGTTTCGATGATTCAGAACCTCGTTTTCACGAAGAGATCGAACCAGACGTAAGATTCCACAAACGTGTGCCTCGACTCGCTCTACAGAATTCGTATTGCATTGCTCGGTGTCCTTCGCCTCTATTGCCATGCTCGGCCTCGCGCGTCAACTAATGATTTGTGTACGAATTCATGTCTGTTCGCGAACGTGGAGTTTCGCGAGCCCGAGATTGCGACAGCGAGAAATTTTTGTCGACCCGTTTGCTCCCTGTGGCTAATTCCGTTAAATATTTACACTTTCGTTTTTCGAGATGGGTCCACCTGTAAAAATTCTTCGAGCAAGCCGAAGTATTCCATGCTGTACGGTGAATCAGAATCGAATATTACCTGTTCAGACTTTCATCACATTATTTAATACTTAAGTAATCGGGTCAAGTTGAGGACAATTTTCTGTTTACGTATTGTTCAAAATTTTCAAGCTATGAGACAAGTTAGATTCCAGGACAGGTGACAAGAATATTAAAAATAAAGAACTATTAATTTAAAGTATCTTTTGAAACTACGTCGAATCGAATATTAGCTGTTCAGACTTTCGACTCAACACGTTATTTAATAATTAAGTAATCGAGTCAAGATGAGGACAATTTTCTGTTTACATATTGTTCAAGATTTTCAAGCTATGAGACAAGTTAGATTCCAAGACAGATGACAAGAATATTAAAAATAAAGAACTATTAATTTAAAGTATCTTTTGAAACTACGTCGAATCGAATATTAGCTGTTCAGACTCTCGACTCAACACGTTATTTAATAATTAAGTAATCGAGTCAAGATGAGGACAATTTTCTGTTTACGTATTGTTCAAAATTTTCAAGCTATCGAACGAAACAAGTTAGATTCCAAGACAAGTGGCAAGAATATTAAAAATAAAGAACTATTAATTTAAAGTATCTTCTGAAACCATGTCTCGAGTCGCGAATCGAACGTCGTTCCGTGGAGATTTGAATGCCGGAACAGGACGATGAATGACGTAAAAGTCAGCGAGCGTGAGAATTTCATGGCAGACGAACGAAAATCGTAGGCAAGATTCTCCGAGGAGCCTTTGGCTGTTCGTTCCTAAAACGGAAAGCACTTTACAGCGTTTCCGGTGGCTAATACAGATATCCTCCTCGGGGATGAAGCATGTCTATGTTTAGATCCGAAGCATAATACCGCGCATTCATCGTGCGACGTTCACGGAAACACGTGGCCGTAATTGTTATCTCTAATTTCTAACGCATCACGTCCACGAAAAAGGACTCGGTTAAAATAATAATTTTATAAACAAAGAAAATATAATAATGATAAGGTTCGACTTTGATGTGCTTCCTCTAATAATTTCAATTCCTTTTTATAAAACGTCTTGTTTCGCGTAAAGTATCGAACAACTGTCACCGAGGGGGATCTTTGAACCGATAGATCCCATTAATTATGAAAAGTGGTTATGCTTCGCGCCGGCGAGCCTGAAGATACCGATAACAATGCTATCGTTGACCTATTGCCGTGTTGGAATTAGCGTAACACGTGCACGCTATTCGATCGATTATCATATTACCGATGAATTGCATAATGGTCTTGGACCTTGGAAATTCGAGATCATCGCACCTCGACTATCGTTTTACATCTTTTCATTCGAGCCAACGCCTCCACCTAATCGCGGAATAGAAACCTCGTCGTATCAGCGAACTACATACAACGAATGAACCGTTGGCATTCCGACGACGATAAGCGCGTATCTTCGTAATGAGTGCTCGTTCCTCCACGAGTGCTATAATGAGCGTCCTTCGGACTTGTTACTCGCCGATTGTTTCACGAGGAACAAAAAGAACCGGTTCGAAGCCGGTAAAACAACGGATCCCTTGTGTTTTGCCCCATTTTTCCCACCCTTGTTCAATTCAGAGACTACACCAGCTTTTATGCTACGCGATGCAACAGTGTTCTCCGATTTGACCATCATTTTTTCTATTGTCCCACGCAAATGTTTACGTCCTAATTTAAACGCGACACCGGTCTGCTTCGTTTCTTCTCTTCTGATTTTATTGCTGTTAGAAGAATTAATTAAAATAGAATTAAGTATTAAGTAACTCTTTTATGGTAGGAAATATAACAAACTAATCAAGTCATTTGATGGCTTCTGAGGAATCGAAGTTTTGTCCATAGAGGGAATTTTGCAGTAAAAATTGTCAACTTAGAGTTAGATTTGCTTCTACATCCTGCTTATTCGTCAGTTTTGGCAGCCTCGGACTATCGTTCGTTCCCAAAATTGAAAACTATTTCGAAGACGAAATGTAACCGAGTCGTAGGATATTACGTCGAGAAACGAGAACTCAAAATACTGCGTTTTCGTTCCTCGAACGACCCTCGTGGCACAGAAATATTAGGAAGGCGATGTCGAAGCGATTACTGCGAAGAAGTGTACCATGGCCAGCGAGTTTCGTGAGGGACGCTCCCTTCTTTGGCAGCAGAGTCTCATTTTAATTCCCCGGTCGAAAGGAGGGACGTCTGGCAGCTGTTGCCGACGAACTCGCGAGCAAATTCGACGGAAAGGTGTGCACCTGGTGTATGTACCTTCAGGTGTCCCGAAGAGAACGCTCCTCGAGCGTATCAAAACTTTGATACTCTTCCGTGAATCCTTCGTTTGCGCTCGACTTATCTGCGCCCACGTACCATCGCCTACAAAGTCACGTATACCGTTTTCTTCTACAAATTTTCGTGGAGCAAAATTCCTTCTAATAACATTCTATGATCTCCCCTATCGCTGTGTAAATGTGCACCGCGCATTCCAATTGCAACTTATAGGATTACGTTTCGATAAGCGTCACAGAATCTCTGCGACACGAGTATCTTAATCTACAGACGTTCGACTAGCACGTACTTACACCTAAATCTAAGATAAACACACGAATATCACTGTTCCTCGGTCGCGACGAAGCAGTATGTTTACCGATTTTATCCTACCGCCGAAGAAACAAAAACAGAAACGGAGATAGGAAATCGAGATGCAGCCAGATCTTCGTTCTTAATTTACCAAGCTTATCCATGTTTGTTGAAAAATATTATCGGTTAAGGGAACCGGCAGGAACGTATAAATTCTAGGTTCATAAGGGTCAATGAATTTCAATTGTAGCAGGGTCAGTGGCGAGTACCCTTGAACTCCCCGTCAACAAAGTCTACTATTTGAATTCTAGTGTCGTACGGAAGTCTATCGACGTGGTCAAATGTTAATAATTACCGAGGTACTCTTCAGCTGATTTTCAACGCGATAAATATTCAAAATGTTATTCATTTCGATCAATACAAATACACTTAATATGTGTGCTAGTGTTTCCTTCGTTCACGAATACCTTGGTAACTATTAATTAAATTAAATAAACCACAGTCATAACGTTAAATATTAATGAAAATATTTGTTATCGTTTATTTAAATGAAAATCCTTTCGAAAGGTGACTCGAAGACAGCAGTCAGGAGTAATTAAAATTATCGAGACGATTTCCACACCCCGTAGATCACTGATCAACCGAAATATTATTTCACCTTCCTGTCGTTCGCGCGAGTTCAGGTGCAATGAACCCCGGTCACCGCGCATGCGCGTACACGCACCCTCAGTAGGTCGAATTCCTCGGGGGATGGTCGCGCACTGGGTCACGGTGGCACACCGACCAAACTCGACGCTTAGCGAAAGAGTAAAATAAAATAGATTCGTCCCTTACCTTCCTCTGGGCTTCAGCCGCGAAACCCGACTTGGCAGCTCTGTTACTGGCCATCATACCCTCGACGTGACTTTACAACAACCAACAAAAATGAAAACGAACGAACCTCGCGACGATCGTGATCACTCGAACGGAAAATAATAACGGTATATCGCAATGTTCACTGTTCCACGGTCGCGGCTCGACTGACACGGCCGAAACCGTACCGGCGAACGCGCGCCTTGCTGGAGAGAATCCTGTGGTCGCTTATTGGTCGCCGCGATGCTGGACGGGTATCGAGTTTTCGTCTGACGCCGTGACACGTGACCTCCGTTCTCCAGTCTGGCACGAGAATGACGTCATATGGCGTCCGACGAATTCCTGAAGATGCTTTTATGCCGCGTTCGAAAAACTTCGCCGCTACCACCCCTGGCGAGAAGTTTCCCAACGTGTACATTAAATAAAAAATTTATGAAAGGTATTCTTATTTCAACCCTTAAGCGGATTATTGGGGCCGCTGCGGCCCTCTACAAGATTAAATTAATAGTTGTTCATTATATGTCAATGTATGTCCTCCATTAGTCCATTAGTTTTTAAATGCTTTAAAGGAAACTTCATTTTCATTTACCAATCTGGTAAAAATCGACATTAAGTAAAATAATTCAGTTGTGATTGGGAGTCCACGTAAGGATTAGAGTGACAAATAATCGTTATAGAGGGTGTTCGGCCATCCCTGGGAAACATTTTTATGGGAGATTCTAGAGGCCAAAATAAGACGAAAATCAAGAATATCAATTTCTCGATTGAGGCTTCGTTAAAAAGTTATTGAAAAATTAAATTAAAAAATTTCAAATCATTCTGAAAAAATTATTTTTGGTTGCAGGGGTCGATTACAATCATTTTTGGTCAATACACATACCCCCGAAATCCTACTCAGTTTCGAGAAAAAAATTCCTCACCGAAAATATAATTTCTGGCCAGAAATGTCTGCCTGAAGTTTCATGCGAATCTTAAAAACATCATAACTATTGAATGAATTGAAGGATTTGAATGTTTCAAAATGCAAACGACGCGTATTTGGATGGAGAATATGTAGAGATTCCAAAAATATTAAAAAAGTTGTTCCCTAATACCGTAAAGTGAGAAAAACCCCATAAAAATGGTACAATTTTCTAATAGCCATAACTCCTACAGTAGTGAATATATTTCATTGAAATTTTGGGGAGAACTAGAGTTCATGGACACCTACAAAAAAGTATTAAACAACTTTCCTGTACAACGTCAACCAAATTTATTAAAAATGAAAAACGAATTTTTAAGAAAAAACGACAGGTGCCTAAATTTTTCGACGAAAAAAAAAATGTCAAATTGTTCTGAAAAAATTATTTTCGATTACGGGGATCAATTACAATCATTTTTAGTAAATAGACCTACCCCCGAAATCCTTGCGTATCTTCGAGAAAAAAATTCATTACGGGCGGAACTTTAAACGTTAATAACTTTTTAACGAAGCCTTCATCAACAAATTGGTATTCTTGATTGTTGTATTTTGTCCTCTAGAATCTCCCATTAAAATTTTTCCTAGGGGTGGCTGAACACCCTGTATACATATAGTTAGGAAGAATAAGGAACGTAGATGGGGTCTAAATGAAGTAAATGAGTACAAAATAACTCGAATTTTCATTCATTATAAAAAAGGAATCATAGGAAGAACAAAACATGAGAAGGAAAGAAGTTTCCTTAGATCGAGTTCAAATCGTTACGTCCATTTTCTGAGTACTTTTGTCGAATCACTATATATAGACTTAGAGTCAATGATAGTTTAAAATTAAATGACTAACATCGATATTATTATCTTATATATACAAGATTACAGCTAGTAGTGGGTATAGAGTCTGTTTGTTATAAGTCATCGATAGAGTCTCTGCTTTTGGGAGATTAGAAATCTAGAATTCCGTTTCGTCTGTCTAGTCTAAAGTACAGTTTTCCATTGTTCTTTAGTCCAATTATACGCTATTTACCGTTGCTATTGACATTGCGGTTCCCGCGAAGAGTTCACATGTTGAGCGAGTTTTATCCCGGATGAAAATGGTTCGTCTAATAGTAACAATGATTTTGTATTTGCGTGAATTTCTTGAGACCTGAGTGTTCTTTTATACTCGAAAGTCTAATTTCATTTCCTGGGGACCCAGGAGAAAATATTTTCTCTATGCAGAGAAATCGGTTATTGCATATTTTTGTATTTTATTGTAAAGTGTATCGTGTTTTATATGAAAAAAGAATTTATTTTTCGTAAATTAAAGTTTTTCAATAGACTCCAATAAACTAACTTTTGTCACGGAAGAGGACGATTGCATAATTCTTTTCGATACTTCAGTTTGAAGAAATTACTAACAATGTCATCACCGTAATTACCGATATTAATTTTACACTCGTGTACGGTAGTCGAGTATTTCGAGGGCTTGCTTCTTTTACAACCGCCGCTTTGTTAACTTTGAGCCATGTGACTAGCGTTCGCTTGATTTGTGTATACCGATGACGTCAACTCCAGATGTAGACTGATGCAGACACGACAATATTATCGTTATTACAATATTTCATGAGACCAAATTTATTTTTATACGATGAACCAGAATTTTTCAAACCAAAGAGCGCGACCCCTAAATGGGGGAGATCTTTAGAATTCAAACGACCACTAAAATATGATATTATGGAGAAAATAAACAAGTAGACTGTTTATTTTAATTTATTAACTATGTAGTACATTCCAACATGCTTATTTTTCCAAAGAATACTAGTTGCGGAATAAAAACGTGAAAAACTATCGAAGTGGAACGAAGAAAGTGTAGGAAAATTGGTGATCATGTAAATTTCGAATTTATTCGAGCGAAATCAACGCGGTGAAATGTACACAAGACAAATTCTTCATCGTCCTATTGCCAGTTCTGTTTCCAAAACGAGTTCTCGTCGTAGCGTCCTAAAGCAACAGAGGGACTCGAGAAAGCGGTCAGGATAAAAATGGTCGAAGGATATGTGTAGCCTGTATCTGTCGGAGGTTCCATGACCCAGCGAGAATTTTTGCAAATGAGTTTAGGGAATTAAAACTTGATTTCTGTATCGACGCTGTATACGTTTGCTCTCAGTTTTACTCAGGGTGAGAGATTTGACTCTAATCTGTCTAGATACATACCACGAATCGTGCCCTAGATATCTCCTGAGCCAACTGAACGCTGCGATTGCACGTCGGTTTACCAGTAACTATACTGTATACTAAGGACGTTCACTGCCCCGTGAGAAAAGCATCGTCGTAACACGAGGAATGCACGGAATTCACTTAATAACGAGCTCTACTCGAGAGGCACAGGTTTGAAGGAGTGTATGTAAAGCTCTAAGCTACTGTTTACATTTAGAAAGTGGAAATATATTCGATAATCGTACAAAAATCATCACGTACATTTTACAAACCTTTCAAACAAAAGGGCACGATTAATTAAACCCTGTGTGTTTGTGACTTCCTCGTCGCTTCTACAATTCTTGTTCAATCTAAACCAAATTTTATTTAGTTGTTCTTTATGTTTCGACGAAAAGTATAGGCTACTTAATTTATGGAAATATTAGCTATACAGTAGACTGCAAGGCTTTAGCAGAAGGTTTTTTTTGTCAAAATAAACTTGCATGTTATAAAGCTTTAATCTAGTATAAAATTTCAAATCTAAATAATTTACGTACAAAATCAAGTTTATTTTAACGCGAGTATCTACGTAAAATTTAAAAAAATTTCTAATGTAAAACCTTACACAACTAGTATCGTTATAAACACGTTGGACCACCGATGCTTTTACGGACGAATTGTTTCGAAATTGTAGAGCACTTTTCATTTGGTCATCGTGTAAGAACGTTCAATGAAACGTGCCATAATAGGAAACGATTACGATCGACCTTCGGCGGTCTTAGCGTACGCTAAAATTTCTGCTTACGTATTTTCGTATACATGTCACGTATTGATGACTCAATCGGCTGTACTCGAAGTCCAAACGAATGTATAATCTTTGAAAACACGTCTCGCGCGCGGAATACGGAGTTCTCGTTTCTAAGTGACTTACTAGCACCTCTTGAAATGTACGATTTGGCTTAGGCACCTCTTAGAAAAAATGGTAACGCTGGAACTTTGATAAAAATCAGGTGATTCTCTACATCCAACTATTTTTTCAATTTTACATTGTCCCGTTAATAAAAAGCTTTCTACCTGACTGGACAAAACTATAAATAATTGCACTTACTATAAGTGCTGTAGACACTTTGGATCAATTGATAGAACCATACCACTTGTCATCGTCGAACAAATCATTGGCCAATGACACTGCTTTATCATATGCTCGATGTATCTGCTATCTGTGCATACATGCTGACGGAAAAATATAGAATATCCATATTTCCATTTTATAAATTGAATACGTATCATTTGGAAGGTCTTGGCTCGAAGTTATGCTTCTTCGACGTTATAGGACCCCTCCATTTCCGGTTCGGAAGTTACCAACCATTTCTCTATTACAGTCTTGTCAACGTGAATATGTGCACGAATACTAAATTAGATATTATTTTTTAAAATAGTTTACTATACGGTTCTATTACAAAATATACATTCAAACCAAAAAAAAGATTAAAAAGGAACTTAAAAAAAATAAAATGCGAGCTCTGTACTCTGTATTGTTAATTAAACTCGTTTCCGGTCGCCGACGTACGTTTTATGACAACGAGAATTCTCGTTACTGGTCGCTAATGCGTTAATACGATTAGTATTGTTATTAGTAGTATTACTATTTGTGTAGAAATGTTTGTACGCGTTTGTCTGCGTGGGTACCCGGTCGAGCAAAAAATTCGAATACCACTTTGGCGTTACGCCACTGCGTGGGACGATGCACAGTACAGTCGTGCAATGCACCAAGGTCGAGGCCACGTACGCCAGGTACGAGAGTCCATCTTGCTCTTGTACGCGTGCGACGAACACGCGTCTCCTGATCACGCTATTTGCCGCACGCAAACGGGCGTTAAGTGCAAGGACCTCCCCTCGATTATTTTAGAAAGTTTTGCTAATTTGGCGAGTTCGATTTTCTTACCATGCAATTTCCGTTCTTGGATGAAGGAAAACAAATTTGTGTACAGACTATACAAGAGTAACGAGCTCCAATTTTTTCCTGGATATTTTTACATATTTATATCGGAAACATTATTTCCTGCTTCTATTTGCTTTCGAGTTGCTCGACTTAATAAATGTCAAGGTCCTTAATTCGAAGGGTGGATTCACCCGTTAAAAATGAAACAAATTCGCTGAAAAAAATACACGTCGAATATTTTGGCAATTTTTATCCGCGTGCAAAGTTTCATTATAATCGGCGTGTTATAATAATAATAAAGAATATAATAAAAACAGGATTATTAAATTTAGATTACCGAAAAATCTCTCTCGAAAATTGAATAATTTTTTTATCTTTTATTTCTGCGATAGACTTTATCATTTTGATATTTCTCGTACGCGTTGCTTTTGCTTAACTCGCGTCATTTTTTATGTTTTCAATTTCGTCGAATAAGCGTAAACTATCTTAAAATACCGTGTAATCTGATTAGAAAATGTTGATGACATTTGTGGAATTTGAGACGATGGAATGTTCCTTACGATTCGAGTATTTATTCTCTTTATGATTCACCCGATACTTTTAATTTTTTTTTTGTAGCAACGATAAAATAAGTTTACTGTAGTATTATTTCAAAGATAGTATCGACTTTCAAAGTTTTATGAAACTGTTTCTCGCTCGTACCAAAAGCAATCACGGCTGATCACTCCATTTTTTCTTCCTCGTCAATTCACTTACTGTTTCTATCGAAGGATGATTAAAACCGGATCGAATTAAAACCGGTCAAGGTAACGTCCTTGCAACCTGGATGGTCTTCTGGCCGAGGAATTTGGTTTCGCGAGAGCTCATCGATCAATCTATTTCGTTCGAATGATTATTTACCGAATTACCGCGATAAAAAAAATGTTGTTTATTGACGCGACAAAAGAACAATTGGTATCGCGGTAGAGAAACCTGGAACAAAGAGATTATTTTCTAGACAACTTTATTACATATCAGAATACAGCCTACAGTTTGTAAATTAGATACTTATCGATATACTCTTAAATATAAGTAACATCCGGCAGACTTAAATATGAGACATTGCCATCTAAAGTCCATTTAAAAATATGAAAAAACGATTGTAACCGGATAAAAAATAAATTTGAAAGTCATAATGCACATTGCTTTGCTTTATTATCGATTACAAAAAGTCCCCAAGTGTACGTGTGATAACGTATGTATGTATATATGTATATGTATACGTAAGCGCGCCCGCGTGTATAACGATATGTATTTGTTCCGTGTTTGTTTGTGGTGTGTCCATGCATGCGTGTATGTAGGTACGTGTAGATGTAAAATACAGGATTGCAGAAGTCACGGAAAGATGTCAGGTATATGGATTTCCTTTTATATTTCCCGTTTCCTTTTTATATGTTGTCTAGAATCACAACATGTACATCGTGTTATGTATTGATGTCGAGGAAGCGCCCGTGGCAGTGAACAGAATGGGTATGTTAATATAACCTACGATCTATAATAGATTACGTGATTTGATACATTGCTTTTGCATGCATTGTTAATGATATTTCCTTTCATGTAATTCTTTATAATCATTATATTCATTTTCATTTGCTTCTTCATCTTCATCGTCGTCATCTTCTTCTCGTATAGTTTAACTAGCAAGCATATAACAACTGATTTTTTTTTTTCTCGTACGATTAGTTTCATGATATGACGTGTCAATATGTAGTAAAGTTACTCTCAGGGGACCGCCAAAGCCAAACCATAAATTGTCTTATTAATATAATTTAGCTATACAACGGTGTATATCAAAACTTATAAAATACCCAAAACCACTATGACGGCTCCCCTGACCCTGCATTTGCGCGATATATCATTTCTCTGATATGATGTTTAGAGCCAGGCTTCTTATTGGTCGTTGATTAAGATTAATGTTTCGTAGATCCCCGTACAATGTACGGATCGATCGAGTTGATTTTTTTCTGCTTGACGCATTGTCGTTAATCGTTCGGACGTTCAATGTTCTCGAACGTAGTCGTGTAAGTCGTTACTTAAAAGCCGGCGGTGGCGCCCTTTGTCCGTTTGCTTTCGACGAGTCCTCGCTGGTCATCACTGTCACCAGTTCGCCGACAGCTTTCCCTAAGTCTCCTAAAAGAAAAATGTACGTTACACCGTTTTCGCTCGAGTCGGGTCGGTGACCTGCGTTTCTGCACGATCGAAAATCGCTTTATCATCTAATACACATATGTATGATTATTCACATTTAGCCATTTATATTCATTAGATCACATGCACGCATACACGAATGACGAGAAGAGTTCCTAGTGCGGGCGAAGACTTCAGTTACGGACTCCTGATTGTACATACGCAGAGACAAAAAAGCAACGAGCAAACAAGAGAACGAGAACGTAATTTGAATACAACTCGTCGTATATAGTCTATGATTCGATGAAAGATTATTAGAATCTTTCTACTAATATTCAGTTTGTTCATCAGCGATTGAACGACTTCAAAATATAGTAGAGCTTTGGATATTGGTCGACCTAGGTAGATGTGTCTATTTCAGAGTAAGATAGATTTAAAAACATAAACATATTGTATTTAGCAACCGGTGAATTTTCAAGGCATCGCTGTGCAACGAATATATACGACAGTATTAAACAATAAACGATTCTCGATTCGACAAGGTTAAACATGTTTGACAGAGTTGCGCGGATAGAAGATCCAGCTGGAAAAGAAGCGTTGATAGTCTCACCTTACATCCATCCTGTGGCGTGAAAAAAAACAGGAAAGCATTGTTATTGTTAAGCAGAAATGGGTCGTGCATAAAACGTTCGACACAGCAGTTTATTACACTACATAAATGATTACACGATTGTGTAGGTAGTACACTAAGGAGGAACGAACCTGCCATGTGTAAGAGATTACCCACATTATGGGCAACGCTGTGAGAATGCGGTGGCGGTGGTGGCCTCTCTAAACTGCTCACTCTTCCCTCGTTCGAGCCTCCACCACCTATGTCCATACACCCATACCAATAAGCTTATGCTAATATATTTGGCACTATGTGAAACGCGCATTAATATGCAGTTAGTATAGCCACGACAGAAATACCTTACGACCATCTATTCTGACTGCGATTCGATTAACTACGTTTACGTTGACAATTGTTCGCACACCTTCCGCGATGTGTACCGAGAAAAAATATTTGAACTACGCGCGATGGATGTTAAAGTCGATCAAGTACTGATGGGGAACGAAGACTCGAGTTTGCGGAGATGATTATTGAGCAACGATAGGACATTGATGAACTAATTGTATTTAAAATTAAACGTTACCGCTCAGGAGGTCCCAAAACTAGTCAACGATGTGTTACGTACCCGGAGAATCGTGATAGTGGCCGTTCATTTTCGCTGGAGAATCGGTCGCCAATTGAGACGCCGTGACGCTTCGCGTCTGCAACGTGCCCGTTTTCGACGGCGATGAAGCATTCGGCTGCAACAAGCAGCGAATGTTATTGCAAAAAGTCTTACGGATCGACCTTGAAGCGTTCGATACGCTGCTCAAAATAATTCCTTTACTTCTCCTTCAAGCATGACTCGAGAGATGAAACTAGTCTCTTAATTTATAAACTAAGGCTTTAGACATTTCAAGATAGAAGCTTCCTGAATCACCTCGAGCAGCGTATAAATGTATAAACGTTGAATGCGTATAATTTGAACTTACATCGTCCAACAGTTGTCTGAGTCTTTGCAGCTGCGCTTCTAGCTGACGATTATGATCCTCCAGTATCTGCATACGCGCCTCTAATCTTCCTTTGTGCTGTCTCAACATTTTCGCTTCGGCTATCATGTTGCAATCCGGTTGTCTGTTGCCATGCCCGTCTTCGGGCGTGGATCCCGGCGTCTGTTTCGAGCGCAATCGTTCGTATTCCGCTTGGAGGGTCGCGTTCTCCTCTTCGAGCTCGCGTATCATCGCCTCGAGCTCCTCCCTTTGCTCAGCGTCAATCGCGGCCATCACTTGAACCGGGCTCCTCGGCACGTTCACGTTATCGCTGCCGTTCAAACTCTGACAATAATGGGCTATCAGCTGATGCTCGTCGTCGCTGTCCGGCGTCGAGTTGCTTCTCGTGCGAGACAGCTCGACCTCCGCCAGTCGGGAGGCGTACATCTCCAATCGCGAATGCATGTCCTGGCTCAGGGAACTGTGCTGCGGCGAGGGTGCAGGGCTCTCCAGCGCGTCTCCCTCTAACACGGTCTGCACTGGCAAATAACCAACTCTTGGGTGCTTCTTGAAGTATCTTTTCGACTTGAATTTGTTCCGGAGCGCTCTCGTGAAGTCACGTACGTCCTCCCCAGACGTGGTCTGCGGCATAAATAAACAGATATTGTTGCTAGGAGTCACAGACACGGGGCGTTTTGTTCCGCGAAACGATATACGAGCGTATGGAGTAGCTTACCGCGGTGCAGTACTCCTGCATCGGATGAGTCAGTTTATGGTTCTTCGCTTTGCGACCCGAGAAGAAGCAGGTCTGGCACATGTCGAAGTTAAAGCATTTCAAGCAACGGTATCTGAAATTCGAAGAACGAGCAAAGTTTTAGTTTATAGTCCTATCTACTATATCTACTTTCATGAGGAAAGGGCTGGAGATTCTAGAATAAGCTTTGAATTTAGTGTTTGTGTTTGAGGACTGTATCGTACCTGAATCCAGTGATAGGATATTCTTTGCATATGTTACATTTCGCTTGATGCTTAGCGCTCTCTGCCGCGGAGAGTCTATGAAGCACAGGCAGCCAGACCATACTCTGCGGCTCTTGCTGCAACCAGCTCAAAAAGTGCACGGCTTCTATTTCGTTCTTGTCCTTTCCGGCTTTTTCGAAGCAGCTGCGGACACTGGGCTCGATGTTCGATCCCCCGAAGGCCGCCACTTCGCCTAACTGCCTGGGCACTTGAATGCAGTCGTGCAACAGTAAACCCAGTTTACGTTGATCCACCAACCTATTCGGATCAGCGATCAGCCGGAACAGATCTGGAACAAAACGACCAGCGTTATATATTTCGCGTTAAGGATACGAAACTAAAAATAAAGGATCGACGAAGCTTACATCTATACTTTTCTTCCAAGTGACCCTTGCACAACAAGACCAAACCAACCTTGAAGGAAAGCACGCGAATTTGACCGGTTCGTTGACTGAAAAGCAGAAACGAATTGTTAACTGTAGAGATATCTTAGATGCTTAGACAATTGGGAGTACTGATAACGTTGGTTGATCAGGCTTACCTATCATATACATTGAGGAGCCAGTTGATGGCTAAATCGATGCACAACGGCACAGACACCTGCGTCGGATTGTCAGCCGTTATCACTTCGTACAGAGACGTCAGGACTGTCACCATGTCGGGAATGTCGATTAGTTTGTCGTTCTGCGCTCGGAGCCCGTGCGAATCGAACTGCTCTAACGCGGTGGAGAGGCTCAACATGTCCACTGCAAAGGGAAACCGATAAAAAATTTAGGGCTGAAAGCACGAACCGTTCATCAGTAATTGTAGCCATTATACAGATGACAATGAGCACTTGGATTTTAGGATTGGAGGGAATGGTATTATCACATTTTCTTAATGGAATAACCTAATGGCGTTATTAATAAAACAGTCTGAGTTAATGGGTTTGGTCTAGAAAACGTCGACAATGTTGCAGTCTCTGTACTTTTTATACCAATAAACTGTTCTCGATAAATAATAGTAGAAAATTGCCTCTGCAATCGACTCCGATAGCTAATAATCGGTTTATAATAAAAGCGATATTAAAACGTTTCATCGAAGTCAAAGCTAATATCAGAGAATGCAACCACGGAAGAACGAGGATCATCGACTCGCGAAGCGAAAGAGACCCACGCGAAAGATCACATCTATCGACGATGACGCGGTACGTCATCGCAGTCGGCCAAGTGATTAATCGAGGAAATTACTGCGATTAATGAACGTGCTGGGTGCAAGACCGTTCGAGTCCCATCCAAGCCAACGAACGAATGAAATACTCACGACACAGCCGTTTCTGAACGGTGCGCAGCTTCATCGCGGTCCTGTACGCGGAGAATCGTACTTCGTTCAGGTCTGCTAGAGAAGACATCAGTTCTATCATCTTAGGATGATCCCAGTGGGTGGTCTCCGACTGATGGCTGAAAACGTACCTGGGATTAGGAAACGGAACGCTCGAACCGACGGAACGCGGCGGATTAAGACATTAATGAAATTTTGTAACAGGAAGGATTCCGCGGATAGAAGTTGGCAAAGTCGAGGGCTGGAAACTTTATTTAATCTTTATTAAATCCGGACGATTTTTGGCACGAGCTAAGTTTCGAGTATTTACCCACGGGTCGACGGATTCGAAGATGGCGGTCGAAGTATCTCGCGATGTTCGGATAAAATTTAAGCAAAATTGATCTTAATCCTCGACCGATCGAATTGCTTAAAACATTGGTAGAGTCTATCTTCGGTCTATCGTTGGATTACCAGTTATTGGTGATTTCTTTAAACTTGATTGTTTTAAGTGCAATCAGGTGTTCGGTTAAACGAAGCGTGTACCGCGCTATCCGGAAGAATTTATGGTCTGAATAAACGTTCGTTGAACGGTATCAAATTACAAGGAACGTAAAAATAAATTGTAGAACATCAGCTATAAAAGATAGCGTTAGGTATTAAAATTTCAGATTCCTTTCGACTCTCGGTTCCGGATCTAATTCGGAATTTCTATCGTTTCGTCGGTCCGATTAAATATTCGCTCTCGGACGTTAAATCCCGAGCTACTCGCGAATTCCCGCAAACTTTTTGTTGTCTCAGATCACAACCGTCTCATCAATTATTCGTTTGCTTGCGTTAAGATCGCGCCGGTGGGGGGATAACGGTCGTAAATTTAAGGCGACTGGCTGGAGCAAGGAAGATCGATTACTTGATATAGTAAGGCACTTTGGCGGGTGTGAGGGCTCTCTCCCATGGTGGTTCCACGCTGCTCGCGAGAAAAGCCTGGCTACCCGGAGTGCTGCCATCCTTTCCAAATCCGCTTAGCAACTTGTAACGCTCGTCAACCGCCACTTGCAGCACCTTCCACCTGCGAAAACACGTGAAAAAGTTACAGTCTCGCGACTTCTCGCTCGGATGACGCCCGAGAAAACCGAGAAATAAGCGCCGCGATACCGATAAGTACCTCATCCACGAGAACGGGATAGCCTCTATTCAACGTAAATAAAAAAAAATAACAAAGAAGTGTTTTACAGTAACTTTTCTAACTTGTTATTATCATCTGATGGTTAAACAAAGTCTTCTGTCTCTTAAGTGACAGTTGTTTTAGTCGTCCAATTAATTAGAAACGATTCTTCCAAACATTATTATTGATAGATAAACAACAGAGAAGAAGCAAGCTATTTATTTAAAAACAAATCTGGCAATAATGTCAATACTGTTCTACTCACATATAATAAATAATTCAAAATTTAAATGCATAAATAAACCAACTTGAAAGAAGTAAAATAGACTAGACTAGAATAGGCTAGACAGAGTCTTCTGTCTTTTAATTGACAGTTATTTTAGTCATTCAATTAATTTGAAACGATTCTTCCAAACATTATTATTGATAGATAAACAACAGAGAAGAAGCAAGCTATTTATTTAAAAACAAATCTAATAATAATGTCAATTATGTTCTGCTCACATATAATAAATAATTCAAAATTTAAATGCATAAATAAACCAACTTGAAAGAAGTAAAGTAGACTAGACTAGAATAGGCTAGACAGAGTCTTCTGTCTTTTAATTGACAGTTGTTTTAGTCATTCAATTAATTTGAAACGATTCTTCCAAACATTACTATTGATAGATACGCAACAGAGAAGGAGCAAGCTAATTATTTAAAAACAAATCTGGCAATAATGTTAATAATGTTCTCATATAATAAATAATTCAAAATTTGAATGTTACTATTTTACTGTATAAATAAATCGCCTTAAAATGTTTCAGAATTGTTAATCGGTTTATATCTATCATGGCAATGGTTGACGCGACTTCTGGCGTCGTGGTGTTTCTAGGGTTAATGTTGCGTTTTCAAGCGTGCGCGGCTTATTCTCCGGTAAGCTGAATTCCATCGAATAAGCAATGTTCCCGGCTCTATCGCCGGAAATCTCCAGTTCTCGCGGACGTGAAAAGGCAGCAGCCGGAGGAATTCCAGTGGAACGTACCTGGTGTTGAGATCTTCGAGTTTCGCCAGCAAAGCATGACAAACGATGACGCTGCTCGAGGCGAAGACGCTCGCTTGATCGTTCGCGTCCTCGATGTTCCTTTGAATGGGCACCAGCCGTTCGCCGAATTTCTGCAATTGCTCCAGCAATTCCGTCGACTCGTTGGCGTCGCTTGGATTTTGCCAGCCGCTCTGGATCGCCTCGGCAGCGGCCATCCGCGACGACAAATCCTCGAGTAACTTTTGGAAGACACATATTTTCTGCAAGCAGACGCGAACGAGCCGATTTTACTTCACTTTTCTCCGCACACGGTAAAATTAATATTCTTTCTCTTCGCCAACGATCGAAATAAACGAGCGGCCAAGAATAATTTATATTCATCCTTAGCATCTTTGGTTTTCATTCGACGTTTCGACGATAGTTATCGAGCCTTCTTTGGAATGGCAATATTAAAATAAAAATAGCTGGAATTCAGGGTCTCTAGAGAGTCGGTATACATTTTCTGGGTAACTATTTTTGTTTCCTGGTTTTCCTCAATATTTATTTTAATATATACTACTTTTTGCCTTAGTTCTTCATCGTACCGCCTTACCCTTTTATTTGACAAACGAAAGTGTATGTTTGCAGATGTGTGTTGCCTTTGTCCTCCGAACGAAACCGGTGGGTGGGACGAAAAGACGAGAGGTGGTGGGGATAGCCGTTCAATGTCCCTGAGCGGTCAATATATTCTGCTCCAAGTGTGGAAGTTTGAGTAATTACAGTTAGGCGTCACTTAAATTCTCTATATCAAATTTTAATAATAACATTTTTGATTCGAATAATTGCTATGAACGTTAGATTCTGAAATGACACACATTTGCAAGCAAACCTATAGAATGCAGTTTAAAAAACAAAATTGTCTCTGTTAGGTCTCGTTAAAACATTTAATTTTTCCTTTTCTGTTCTGTCAGAAAACAAGCAGTCTCCCTCTGTGTATTATTTAAAGCAACGTATATTGCTTTAAATATACGTTGGACTCAACCGGAAACAATATATAACGTTTTCATTAATTTGCATTCTTCTGCTGAGCGTTATTATTCTAGTTGCGTGTTGTTTCGTACACACACGAATAACATTCATATTTCTTTAGTGGAAAAAATTCGATAATTGCAATTAAAAATCACTTCAATTTTATTGTATATGCAAACGATGTATTTTAACGATATAAATGGAAAAAATTACATCGAATCGGTCTTGTACGAAATTTTAATAAAACTTGACAAGCAATTTGTTAATCCCTTTTCAAGCTAAATTATTTATACTAACGTGCAGGAAGGAAATAATTATTAAAATCTAGGTGACGATAATATTTCATTCAATAATTTTAGATGTGTGACCGTATGGCTATGGCAGGAATGAAAGGGTGTAATTATGTTCATTACGAACGAATGACTGTTCATTCAAAGGGAAGAGATATTTCTACAAAGACAATGAACTCATTCTACTTCGGTTGCTTCCGTGGCCGTATCTGAAAATAGTGTTACTCTACAAACGAGCGAACAGCGTTTCTGGGAGTACGACACCGCGTTTGTGGGTCGAAAAGAAAGTTACAAGCGTAATTGTCGGGCTAGGAGTTTATGGTCTCGAAAACCACGTTTATGGATTACTGGATTTCGCGTGGCCATACGCGAGTCAACTGCGAATAATTGCTGTTAAAATTCAGCAGAAATTGCGACCGCGAATATTTTGGACTCGGTGAAAAGATTTCTTGGCTTTGTTAGGCCGACGACAGAATCTGATCTTTCGACAGAAACAATGTAGTGAAACCTCCATTGTACGAGAGTTTTATGGTAATAGTAAAAGTTAATTGTTGCAAGAAATTCGTAGAGGAAGTGCAACATATTTGGAACAGATGATTTGAGTTCAAATGCAATTACGCGTCGAATCATCGAGCTCTTCCAGCAAGATATAAATATGTTTTTGTCTTCTTTCCATACAGTAAATTTGTTTATGCAAATGGAATGCAATCCCTTTGTCGGCCCACGCGGAAAGTTGCCCAAGTTTTAATTAGGGCCATTCACGCACATCGAACTTTCTAAGTGCTGTTTAAACACAATTTAGATAGCATACAACAAGCTAATGAATAGGGAATTTAACTCAGTAAACGTTCATAATTTCACTATGTGTTCAAGAAACGTATACGCAAACTAGTTTCGATACGTTGTAGAGTGAATATAAATTTCAGAATTTATTGAAACAAATATAGAGACACGTAGACAAGAGAAGATCCAAGGACATTTCCATAGAAATAAATTTCATCCCTAACGCCCTCGAGACAACACTTTAGTTAATCCCTGTAAAAGGGTTACAGCAGCCATCAAGATGACGCGTCTTTTTTCCACTCCAATAAATTACATTTAACGCTGAAACGGCGAAACCAATTCGCGAGTCTCGCAGGATAAAAGGAGGCGTAACAATAACCCTTAAACAACACCTAACATCCCTTTCAGGTCGGTCTGACGACCCGAAAGCATCCAGTCGCTCTTTCCATTCATTCGATTACCTTCCATTCAAGCGTTCCACCCATCCATCGAGCGTTTCTCGTTTCCCTGGTTAAGCCGCAGCCTTTTCGCGGTCGAAACCTCGACACAGAAAACGAGGGTTGAAACCTCGGGACGAGGAGTTGCGGTTGAGGAGAAACCCATTGCAGCGGTACAGACGCATTTGCGCGGTCCTTTCACATTTTATTTGCGACAGGGACGGTATTGGATTTACAATAAAATAAAGTGTTTCCTGGTAGTTGTCGGAGGAACGAGAAAACGTCTCCATCGAAGAACCTGAAAGTGATTAACTCGAAAAGATCTATCGAACTGCTGATGCGGACTAAGGGTTGACGAAGTTATTACGAAAAGTGTCGAACAATAAAAATGATTGGCATCGCTGACCAAGAATATGTAACACGAAATTTTAGGTGTTGATATCACGTTTCTAATTTGGAGTCTCAAAGAAAACCCACTGGGAAGGATGCAGGCGTGCCTTTTCTAAAACGTACATAAGCAAAGACAAAAGAGGAGACGAATGGGTGTAATGTTTCGTGCGTGAAATGTGAGTACACTGGGAATGCGCTGGTTACAACTTCCGGAAGTTGCACCTGCGACTACCGTAAGTAAATTTTAAGACTCGGAATTCATATTTACCTAAGACGGTCGCCCGTTGTTAATTTTCTACTCGATGGAATCGCAAGAGAAAATAAATTTATCATCTAGTCGTTCCCTTAAATTTCGATTTTTTGAAACGCCAGTTTATAGTATTTTTACATATGATGTTTAGGACCAGTGCACGACAAAGAATTCCGAACGTAATGAATATAAAGTAGAGAAGCAGGAAAGGAGGGGAGAAAGGAAGTACAGGGCAGAACTGTTGAAAAATAGGGAAACGAGAACAGACTGAACAGTAAGGAACAGAAGAAGGCGAAATAATAGGCAGAACGTATAGAGACGAAGGGCGAAGCTAGGAGAATGAAGAAGGAGAAGTTTAGAGCACAGAGTCTCTCAAATTGTGGTCTCTCAATTCTCAGAAGAAAATAAGAAGCATACAGTGGAATAAAAGTATTTGTCTCATAGCGTTGTATTCTTATCAAAAACACCTGCTAAATGATCCCTTCATCAATCCCTATTTAATTTTTGAAAAGTAACAGAATCCATTAAATTTAGGTTTATCCAATGTCTGTTGCATAGAACTATCAAACTTATAAAATTTAACAAAATTAACAAATGGTAGGAAATGTAATTGAATTTTTAAATTAAATTATCGAGAAGGTGACACGGTTGCAAAGTGGAGTTCTCGTGCAGAGACGAGTTTGCTTGTTTTACATCTTTCGTTGGCGGTTCCCAAAAAATTTAGAGAAAGAAGAGCAGCGGCTCCCGTTGAGAATCTCTGGCTTAGACGAAGGAAAAGCCGGAAAAGCGCGGAACGAAGAAAGGGTCGGCGCGGAAAGAGCAACGAGGAGAGAATGAAGGAAACCCGGAGCGAACAGTGGAAAAGGGTCGGGAGAGTCTGCATTTGCATTCCAAATAAACGCCGACGACGGTCGTTAAATCGCTCTAATTAGTCGTCCCGCTGTGAAAGTACTTTTAAGCGGCGCTTGTTCGGCATCCAGCGCGCGCGTTCTTAAAGCGAAACGCGAAGAAAAAGGCGCCGAAAGAGAAGTCGATGCCGGAAGTAAGTTCGAGTTGTCGACGACACGGAAAACGAAGCTGCCCAACTGGCGCGCCGATGGGTATTCACCGACCGAAACAATATACACTTTTTCCGAGTTTGTCACGCTTGGAAGAATCGCTGGATGGTCATTCGCTGATAACTGGAACGCTGGGTTCGCGCAAATAACACAGGATGCTTTAAAAACGAGGATAAAAAAAACTCGTACGAACGTAGCTCCGGAAATTCCACCTTTTCGAGATACAATTTTTATGTGTGAAGTAGAAGTTTAGTGCAGGAAGTCCCATGAATAAAGATCTTAATATAAATAAAATTACAAAAATGTTTTTCCCAACCTTCAGGTGTTCGACATGTTATTTCTAACGAAATTATAATTACAGTTAGCAAAAGTACAATTCCAAGTATTTCTGTTATTTATTGAACATTTAGCTTTTCTGAGTTCCTGGTATTCGGCTCGTTAAACGAAATACTCCGAGATCTAATTAATCGGAGCAACGTACGGGTAAATTCACATGCAAATTCGCCGAACGATTCTCGGAGCGAGGCGTTGTAATTGTTTAGTCCCATTCGCTGGTCCCGTTACGACAGTCCTCGTACCGTTCTTCCCTGACACCGTTCCAACCGCAGGTGTCAATAAACCTAATTAGCGGCGCGCTTAGCGACCTCGTAATTGCAACCCCTGGCTACGGTTCAGCGCCGTGGCGGACTCTACGGTTCCGTTTCGGTCCGTTCTTTCTCGCGACGGGCGAAAAAGTTATCGTGACCGTATCTCGTTATGGGTCTGGATTTATTTGTGCGCACGCGATCATGGTCGTTGCACGCACCAAGCACCAGGAACGAGCAAAAACCGCGATAATTCGATTGTAACAGTTCCCATCTGACGCGGAGAGAATCTTTCGATTGCACGCGAGACTACTGCACGAACGACAGGCGAACGTTAAAATTGAAATATGGCGTGTTCCCGGCGAAATTAATTGGAGATTTAAATGATCATTTTGATGATTTGTAATTTCATTAAAATATCTACGGTTATATAAATTAATATGTGTATATATTAAACACT